AAAACGCTACGAATTAATTCCAACACCTAATATTTCTACATACATATATTATAATTCTATCAATTAATCTATTTAAAGAATAGTTACTTAACATATTTTTACTCTCAAATGAAAAATGTGAATTGTTGACAATATTATTTTATAGTTATTGTTTTAACACGTTTTTTTTCTTTTTAAATAACTATTTTTTACGAATCTTTAAATATGCAAGTCCATCGAGAATCTACAATAAAAAAGGGTTATAAAAATTACATCATTTTTTAAAAGTATTACAAGCTATTCAATGTGCTACCTAATGTATTTCTATTTAATATTTATTTAATTTCTACTTACTCTTTTCAGAAAATTGTGGTTAAATCCATATTTATTATTTCCAAATATTAATAAACCAGAAAATTGTCAATAATATACAATATGTTGTTCAAATCATTCCACATGATCGTTTATGTAAAAAGAGAAATATTGCAATATAAATAAATATTTATATTATGATAAATTATCATTTGCTAAGTTCTCTGATAATAGAGAATTTGATTTAATCATTTTAATGGATATTGTTTAGATCTAATAAGACAGATCGTCAGATTGATTGTGCCGATCGGATTTCAGTGGTGTAGCTACAAGCTGTTTCGTCTCGATTACACTATGGGCAGTGTTCATCATCGCTTTGGGTATCGCTAGTCATACAGAAATGTTGATATGTCGACCGCTATACGATCCTAACTATCATACTATGGAAGTTGTGTTGGAAACTCGAATGTTTTTAGGAAGAAGGCTCGCATTACCTCTCAAGGATCTCTTTGAGTAAGTTTTTAATTAATCTAATAAAGCTTCATGATATTCGATCTTAAATTATTGTAGAAACTGCAAATTATAAAGTGGATACTGTTACAAGAATTATCGATTAAAAAACATTTTTTAGATGTCAATCATATTTCTAATGAGAATACATTTTTTATGATTATTTAGGAAAATAATGTTTTAGGAATTTTAACGAAAATACCGTATCGTTGAGTTTAATAACATTTATTTTTATGTAGTTTAACTGTACACTGCAGTGTAAATTACACTTATATTTTTTATTACATCCCCTCAGGTTATAACATGTAGACACAACGATTTACAATGCGTATTTTCAGTACCAATGTTTATTTGCAGAAAATGTCGAAACAACGAGGCAGCTTATCCCGCCTTGGGGTTGGAAAACGCGATGAAACTGGAATATTTGACTGCACATTGGGCATGGCCAGGCCTGTCTAGAGCAATTTCAAGTATTAAAGTTGATTTAAAGGGTCTACAAATATTAACGCCAAATTTACGACAATGTCTTCAGGATCTCTTATACGCCTGTGGTTTGAATCTCACCGCGCATAGAATTATGGTACTTATCACAATTTATTTATAAACGTTTATTTGTTACTCTTGTTAAATATACTTCAACTTTTTATTTTTATATTCTTCAAAATGAAAGCAAAGATTTTGTATTTTATTTATGATAAAAACGAAGATTTTTAGACTTTAACAACTTGATTAAAGTCTTCAGATTACTTTGGCTTTGAAGAATTTTTTCGAAAGAAAAATCTACTGGCATTAAAGGAAAGTAACAAATTGCGCAGCTGCATCACTACGTAGTGCTAGACGGGTACTTTGATAAACGACACAGATTTCACAACGAGTTGTTTCCATGATTATGGTGTAAACTACTAATTAAAGTCTATTTAGCTGTGCATAACTACGTCAATTTATTAAGTGTAATAACATACACATATATACATTTATTTTAATATTCTATAATCTCTATATGGAAAATTATTCATGTAATTAACATGCTTTTCCATTTTTTACAATAATATTTTAAGTAGCGAAATTTTGTAAAAAAGATTAAAAGAAAAGTTGATAATATGATAATGTAGACTCCATGTACAATTTTATAATATTATAATTAATATCTTTTTTTCCAAAAAGTTTTTAATTTGTTTTTAGAGATAGATATCAAAACAATTACTGTTACAACTAACACGATCTTTTGGTTAACAATTAATATTTATCTAAAACAAAGTATATTAAAGTTTTTTTTAATATGATTTTAATATTAACATGATTTAGTTCATAAATAATGAGTCAATTTAATACCAAGTTTAATATGATTAAATTTGTAAGTAACAAGTTTATATTCTAAATTAATTGTTAAATTGCTATATTCTTCTATTTGGAGGAGATAAATAAATTAGAATAACTGTATTTTCGCGATGTAATTAAATGTAAATTTGTCAGTGTTTTTGTATTGTATTGGGTTGCCTAAGTAATGTGAGTTCCGAGTTTTTAATGAGAAATGTTGCAATTATTTTTCGTAAAAAAATTTTAGTGATTATTATTTTATTAAAAAGTTCCTGGAGGACTTTTGCAAAGTGAGGGAGAAGTGCTCGTAATAAACATTTACGAGGATTAACGCAAAAAGTATTAGGAGAATATATTCACGAAAAGAAACTTTTGAACTTGATAATATCTCAATACGTTAATTAAGGAAGTTCTATAAATTCAGGCTGTTTAAACTTTAGGAAATAAAAAAACATAAAAAAATCAAATTTTATAATAATATGGGAAAGGAAAACACTTCATTATCACATTCAAATAGTCACATCATAATATCGTTTTTCATTTAAACATTTTTTTCCTTTTTGTAAATTGTCTTAATCATTTCAAATGTATTTTATATTATTTTATATTAAACTTAGAATAATTATTATTTATTATCGTTAACTTGAATAAAATTGAAAAATAAAATTAAATACAAAAAAAGAATTGTACGAAATGAAGATCCACTTTATCATCTTTTCTTCTATACTTTCCAGGAAATCATTTTTTTTATTTTCCAATTATCATAACTGCTATTTTCTATTCGTTCACAGATCCAAGGTCCGATTCTGAGTAAAGATATAAGTACATTGTCTGATCAACTGGACAATGTATCCCGTCAGCTACAGGATCGAAGTATTGCCAGGGAACTGCAAAGCATTGGAATAACAATGAGGGATCTGACATTGCGACAGGTGAAACCGCTAATGAGGTTACAGGATGATCTGGTCTATCGTCTTGCAGTTCTAGAATTGCAGGTGCAACCTCTTTGGCGTCAAGTTAATCAATCGATTTCGCATCTAAGGACGATACAATATTACATAGATCATCAGGGAGAGAAGATTGCTCAATCGGTGAATGATATTCAAAAGTTCTTCTTCGCAAATTATTTTAAAAAATACATATATTCTATTCATGAGGATTATTCAGAAAGCATAAATATTATCAAAGCATAAATTTATCGTTCAATAATCGTATGTGCAGAAAACAAAGTCGTATGTGGACCGACTATCGAATTATCTAGATCAATGGCGGACTCACGTATTCTCTGAGATGGATAGGGAAATATCCAAATGTCGACCTTTATGGGACGTTCTAGAAGGATTAAGATATTTGCTATGTGCTCACATTTTAAGCCCTCTTGTATGTATAATTTAGAATGTATGATTAAATATATCAGTTAAATATTGAATAATTTCATTATAAGTGAGAAAAACAAGAAAAAACACAAATATTTAATGTGTAATAGCAGAAATAACTGAAAACAATTAAAATTTCATTTTTAATGAAATGTCTTATATAATCTATACTTTTAGGATGGTTTCTGGTTTGCCACGTTGATAGGCGCAATTGTTATGATAATTAGCACACCAACAGCTCATATTTTGTCATTAGTATACAAAAAATCATCCAGTTTTGTAGAAGATGCTACTCTATTGTCAACAAGAGCGTTAGTATTCTCAATTAATTGACAATCTAAAAGAAAAAAAACATATGATCCAAATGATCAAAAAATAAAAATATATCTTTTTTTTTTTCAGAGAAAGTCTCAATACGGATGACGACAGAACGTGGCAGATGCCAGAGTAAGTAAGATTAATGTACTTTCTTACTTTATATTTGGATAATTACAATATAATATTAAAAGCGTGTATAAAATCATGTTTCATTAAAATTATGTTTGTAAACTTTTGTTTATAATTGCAATTATATTTTATAGCCCACCGCCGCCGCCACAAAGCAATTGGTAACAGACGAAGGCGAAGGACGATGACCTCGCGTTGCAGGCAGACTCAGAAAGAAACTAATATAGCATTAGGATTTAATATTAGCAAAAATATTGATGAAGCTTAAAGTATAAATCGTACAAAATAAGTTTTACTTGTGTCTAACTCATTGCAAGCAAATTTCTAAAAGCCAACTCATATATTTTTATGAAGTCTACTCGGTCTTAGAATTGTATCATTTGTGCGAAGATTTCTTCATGCGTTTGTTTGTTAAAAAATAAACTTCTCAAACATATTAGTTAACTTATTTTTCTTTTTGCATCATATTTGTGAACACAGCAGTTACACGACAGATTGTCTCACAAGATAAAAGCACATTCACAACATGGACACGAATGAAGAAGTGCTTGCTTCGCCTATGGAATTGTTAGCAATACAATAATACATCCCCATATGTTCCTCATCTAGCCGAGCCAATTGCATCCAAGATGTTCGCATGAGTGGTTCTGGACCATCGCTTGTATGTATGGTCGCCTGATGCTCCTCTCCTATAAATAAAACTACAGATTATATTAAATTCTATAATATGTTATGTTTGTATAATTATACACAGCAACTAAAATAAGTCTCAAGCAAATTTAATCCGCCGACAACATGAAATTTTAACTTTTCTACACTAAAAAAAAGATTAGCTGCTGTGTACAGCAAATTAGATAGTAAAATATGGCACAGCATTTTTAATTGATTGCAGCAGCCAATTTTTTTTGGCTGTGTTAGCTTATCGGAATCCTATACTGACATTGCGAATAGACTAACGCAATCAAAAATTGGCTGCTACAGCCAATTAAAAATGCTATGCCATATTTTATCATCTAATTTGTTGCAGCAGCCAATCTTTTTTTTCAGTGTGTCAGCAATAGAAGTCTTTGAGAAACAGAGCAATTTTTTTATTGCTCCGGATTATATGAAAATGTAAAAAGATTTTAATATTCTTGTCAAAGCTTTAACAACGAGTTTTTACCATCATAGAAGTCGGATTTTATTTCACTTACCTTTTACAGATTTAAATTTATCTACCTCTACAATTCACGATTAAAAGATCGATAGTGCCTTTAAAGACCTCATATTGCCGACGGAGATTTAAATGTTATTGAATACTACTATATCACACGGATGATTTTTAAATTTATAATTTTTAATTTTATTCGTTCGACATTATATCCACAGATATTATATTTAGAACAATTTAATTAATTTATTTTATTTTATTTCAGTTGATGTATCGTAAATATTTTGTGAAATATTTTATTGTAACATTAATATTGTATATTGCATTACCCGGCAATTTCAATACTCTTCTCCCGTCAGCTGAATGAAATTCCCAAAAGATATCCGGCACTGGGAAGCCCTTTGCCTCACAATTAAGTGCGACGCGTTGACCAAAAGGTGAGACAACATCTTCCAAAGTTGTCAGAATCCAAGGTCTACTTTCACAAGGACCGAGATGCTGTAATCTCAAGGAAGATGAGTTTCTGAGTTTCATCGCCTCTTCGTGCAACGCACATGGCGTCGAGTAAGTCTCATTATTGCTACCGCAGGCTGGGCTCTGTTCCATACAGACGCAAGCTGCTTCCGGTGCATCCTATATAGAAATTAAATTTATTTGTTTCTATTAATTTTACGTATGTTTTTCCTATAATGTAAGATGTTGCTACTGTTATTTTCTTATTACTACTATTTTTTTTTCACTTTGCAAACAGAATGACTATCATTTGATATTCAGAGACAAAACAATTGTCTCACATTTTACTATGGAGAAGTTAAATCGTTTAAAGTTGGTAATGTGCTACTTTGTGCGCCACATGTCTTCGCTATATCCTGAGAATTTCAATGATACAAACATAACACGCGAATTGTCTTCATAGATAGTTCGCTCAACCAGGAGAATAATTAATGTCTGTTTAAACAGTTTAAAGTATAAGTTTAATGCAATTAAATGGTTGATGTAAACAATTAGTATTCGTATACAGTCAACCGAAATGAGCTTTGAGAGATCTATGGCTATTAATATGGCTCCTACCCCTTAAGACTATATAGCGAAAAGTATTCTTATCCAGCCCGTGTCTATCATAAACGGTCTGCCTGATTGTTTGATTGCATGACGTGTGTGAGCATATATTCTCACAATGCGATCACGGCCCACGGTGCACGATAAGACGAAATTAGATGCGAAAAGGCCAGCGGAGCGGGTCAGCGACCGTAAGTCGTCGGTGACTGCAATCTTGAAGCTTAGATCTGACTGACAGCATAGCACAGTGGATGGATGATATACGTGAGACTGCGTTAGATATCGTTTGCGCAATGACTCGTGATTCCCATTTTTATATCAAACTAACCCAGAAAGCGGGATATTTTATTACCGCGCTCATTGAGAGCGAGTGATCTAGAACGTGGTCTTCTTAGGTCTTAATTGAGAAAGTGAATTTATCACTTACAGAAGTGATAAATATTCCATGTGACTCGTGCTCTTAGCTTTGCGCGAATTCAACGAATGCTCTTGAAAATAATCTACTCTTTAAAGAAATCTAGTACATAGCAATAGCGTGTAAATTATTTTATATTCATATTATAAAATTTATTGAAAATAGAGACACTAATAAATAGTATGTCTAATAAAACAATTGTTGTGATGTCTTTGTCTTTAAATTGACTTTCGGACTATCTATATATACAATTATGTTAAATCGGCGATAATATCATGTAAGTTGTTAGACAGCCATTACGAGACTATGTGAAATCAGACGAGATCGAACGAGAGCCAATTGTTACACCTGAAAAAGTACACGATCCAAACATGTGATCTATCAATTGTCGAGCATGTGACAACATAGGTGTGTACCGAGTCCTTTTCGAAAATAGAATAACTCAATCAGTAACACAAACAGTTATGTTCGAATGTAGTGGAACAAGCGAATAAACTCTAGAAATTTGCTTACACAACTAAATTGAAAATTTTTCAGAGATACAAGGCGACATACACATTCTCTGCAATATTGAGAAAACCGATTTTGTAAGATATTAAACTTTGTTTCTCGCTAGATATTAAAGTAAAATTAATCGTGCATTTAAAGATCTCATTTAGCGCTTGTAAAAACAAACTGCATTTTTGTACCTTTTCTTGTAAATCGGAGCGTAACTCGCATAGATAATTTCTTGCGCAGTATCCATCATTACGGCTTTTTGGAGATAAAAGTGGAATGCTCGCGTTCCAACATGGTTCATCGAGGAGACGAGCGCACAAACCAGTTTCCGGACAACATCCACAAGGATCAGGAACCGAGCCCAACAAGCATTTTCCAGGATTCTCTGGACATCTATTTATGTACAATGAATGAAAAAAGATTTTAATATTGATTTTAATATTGATTATGGCAGCTTATCGAATTTTTATTTTTATTTTTCTAATTTATAAATATAGTTATGATTAGAAAAAAAAGCAGTATTTTTTAGAGTATTTCTTAGAGTATTTGTATTTCGAGAAAAGTACTATTTTTTGTCTTAAATTATAACTCCTTACAATACAAATTAAGAAAAAAATACATAGAAAAATGGAAACTCTAATATTTTTAATATCCTCTAATATTCTTTTGCTGAATAATTTTTTCTTCAAGCTTCTTTGCGGTCATTTTATATTATGCTACAATCATTGATTATATTCAACTTTAATTACGACCGCGTGTACCTGTAATATCCGCACTCAATGCAACCCTCTGGTTGCGCTTTCTCAGTGACACTCTTATTTTCGATGGTTCCAGCGACAGCGGGAGTACCTCGTCGGAATGTGGCACAGAACACCAACACCGCCAAAAACGTGAACGGAAACGCTCTCCGGCACGTCATTTCGCCGACTGATAGAAAGCGCGAACGTCATTCGCCATGTCACTCCCGATGTGATGGGGGAGGCTAAACTATTATGTACCACATATATTAAAAAAAGTCCCGCAAAGTAATCGTTATATACAATACATTCTCGTCATTTAATAAGAATTATACGTATTTTATAGATTTAAATCGCAGAAAAAATATTATACAATAAAATAAAAAAATTAATATTCTCTTCTTCGTGGTTTGGTACGTTGATAAATCATTTATTTATCGTTATACATTGTTTTACATTTTACGAGTATTTTTATTGTGTCATGAACTTTATATTTGATAACAATGCGTAGCTTATAGGCTATTGATCAAATTTATATTTCATGCTAACTTTGATTGCAAATTTTCAGTATAAGTGTCCGCTTACATATCTACTTATGCATTTTGATGAAAATTAAAATTTTTATTTATTATTAGAGAAAATTAAATTTTTTTATTTTTCATTTCGTCTCGTTTAATCGCACGTACAAGGATACATTGTGTAATTATAAGCTCAGATATTTCCAGCAGACTCTCTTGCGTAATAAGTAACGACGATAAAAGGTTGAACCGGAGGACCAGATAACAGCTATAAGAATCAGCAGCACGAAGGATATTAATGCCAACGGGCTCGGAATAAGAGTCGAATAGCCGATGCCACCAAGATTAGAAAACACATCACAGCATGCCTTCCTTTCGTTTTTCTTTTCGTATGCTATCGATGTTTCCTCCGACGTACAGCTGACACCTACTGGATGCACCACATCACGTGACACATTGGTCCTTTGGTTACAACATAAGGTACAGTAAATATCAGTCTCTCACGCATTGCACATAATTAAAGTAACAAAACAGATTTCCTAAGTTTCTCAAAATTTTTGAACACAAATTTTTTTATATAAATTTATTTTTTGTGGATTTAAAATGAATACGTTTTTTGAAATCGATGAAATTAAGAAGACTTGTAATTTTATAGTGATATTTAATCCCATTTTTTTTTATGAATCACATAAGTAAATTTGTGTAAAATATAAAATATTAGACATTAGATATATTCGCATAAAGCATTAAAATCATTTTTAACGTATTTTTGTAAAATATCATTTTGAACAAGAAATTTATTTTTAAATTTAAAGAAAGAGAGCTACTGATATTAAAATACTAATTCGATTTTTGAAAATGTTTAGATTTTTTAAAAATATTCTCTCTTTTCTTTCTTAAACGTATTAATAATTAATTTTCTGTATTAATAGCAGAAATATCTTACAGATAAATATTCCCTCGGAATTTTATTCATATTCCTATTGTTCCTATCGCTAGTCATTTTAAAATATAACAGAAGCGAGCAGTCTTGATTTATAAAGTGATAAAACTGGCAACATTCCTATACGACTTAGGTAAAGAAGATTAAATCGTCGCGAATAGTAGAAGATCGCAATTTTAAAACGCATTCAATAGCATTACTCAATTTTCTCGTTGTAAGCTAGTATCTTCTTTCAAAGATCCACCATTCCTGCGTCGTCTGTCGATTCCATGTGTCGATGTGGTTGTCGGATTGCTTTTGCTTATTGAAGCATCCGCCAACAATCTGACACGCGCTCGCGGAACATTGCAAAAAGTAACTCTATGTTGTTGTCGAAACAGCGTTTTATTTGGAGTTGATAAATCTCTTACCCGATTAAATGATTTAATGCGACTCAATAATCTTGCCAAAACAGGATTCCTAGACACGTTTCCGCCAGCGGCCGGACATTCCTTGCGGAATACACAATCGGACTTTGTATCATTGTTGGATGGAATATGACATGGAGTACATGGAGTGTACCATGAATCCTTCGAAGATTTTTCAGTGGTACATGCTTCAAAAGCCTTTGTTGTATTTTCAAAAGCGATCTCATCCCTTTGCTCCGGCACATCACACGAGCCAGGATCGACAGACTTCGAAGGATTTGTGGTATCCGTTAAATTAATAAATGTTTTTGACGTTGAATTTTGTATAGATTCCTCGTCTAATATTAAATCGCGACTTTGATCAGCATATTTGGACTCATCCTCGGATCCAGCGCAATCCGTCACGCAATAACAATAGTTACTATCTTTTTTAACACATGTTTTTCGTGCCTTATCGTCATTTTGTTCATTACAGATGTTACTTTTCGAGTTTTTATCGCTAATGATCTCACGCCAAGACTGACCTGTACAGGGCGAAGAGAGTCGATCGTTACGCTCAGTGCAAAAGGTCAATTCTCTGCAAGGCATCGGAGGATGACAAGACGAAGTGATCGAAATTGGTCGGCAGGATGGACATGGTGAGTTAGGTTGGCAAGAATCCTTGGTTGAAATGGATCGTTGACACTTGAAAGATGTGCATGGATTGCAGGATGGTGGTAGACATCTTGGTTGACACGAGCAATGATACTTGGGGCAGGGTGGTAATCGAGGAGATGGACAGCAGAGACGCGCGTTGGGACATTTAATCATCACTTTTGGGAATCTTCGTTCGCTAGGTGGACAGGCGCATTCCGGGCTGGATGGACAATCGCAGGAACACTCGTGAGTAGCACGTGCGTCCACATGAATTGGTGGCGGGCAATTACAGCTGCGTGGCATCGGTTGGCACAGGCAGTAACTACTCGTATTAGACTGGCAACAATTGCGCTTTTTTAAGATGGATTTCAGGGCACAGGACTGACAATCGGATGTCCGATGTGACGAAGGATATCTGCATTGCGAAGAGCAGCAAGACGAAGCGATCGATGAGCAATCCACGTTAGGAGAATTATAGTGGGTCGATGAGTAGCTACAGCTTGGCGGTGAGCAACCACCGCCTGCTTCCCGTTTCAGAGGTTTGGGTGATGACGATTTATCTGCTGGTACCATTTCCGATTTGCTTGCTCCACCCGCTAAACGACGGCTCCCACAGCATTTCTGTCGAAGATAGAAGAATCTTAGACGACAGTTACAAAGCGAGGCACGACTTATCGCTCGAACCGCAGTTCGCCGGAATCATCGTCTTAAAATGCTGTTCGTTTGTAAAAATCGCAATGTAATCACGATGATATCTTTTCAAATTACGTAATGATAAATGTAATAGACATAATGACCATGCATATTAAAGTTACAGCAGCTGAGTTAAGGTTGCATTTTAATCGTTTAACATTTTAAACGTTCCAATTACTAAGCCATTAAAGTCTGTATACAAATTAGTTTGGCCAACTTTACGGATTTTACTGAATAATTAAGAAACTTTGAAACGTTCGCTACCTACTTCTAACTATACTATGCTAATTTACATAAATCGAGTACGCGAACCAACCGCGCCTGAATTAAATCCTTGCAGTCTTCCCATCAAATTTAATTAAAGTGTACACAGGATGTCAGAAACATATCCGCGCCTTGCATTGTTCACTCTGCATTTCTTAACCACTTCTAACCCTGCTATTCCATAAGTTGGTCATAATTATATAGTAACATAAATTTGAATTCACAAGACAAATGGATATGTTCTAATATTTTACTGAAATATAATTATATTGATGTTATTATTAATATTAGAATTAGTATTAGTATTACAGGTTAAAAAAATATATATGTTACAATATTAATATTATATTATTAATATTATATTAAGCAATCTTAAACTGAATGGCGAAATTAAGTAAATCTTAGTTAGTTGTTTTCTTCGCGCTAATATTTACTTCTATTTTTCATCACAGTAAAAACATGCAAAATTTACTACCTCAAAGGAATCTCAAGCGCATTTTAAAGGGTATCTCAACGAGGAATCCACCTTGGTGTGTACCTGACAGTCCGATGTAGTACCGGAACATGGAGCCGTTGGTGAAAGACACGGTCGGGATGAAGCGACAGTTCTGCTGCGAACAAAATGCAATACGGTGCAAAATAAGGAAATTCAATAATTCTTTCAATATCTTCTTCAAATCTTTGAAGGGAAATATTCTCTTAGCGTTCATATTCATTTGAGAATTCTTTCTATAAAAAAAAATAAAGAAGAAAGAAATAGCGACACTACAAATAGACAGTGCTTTCACGAAAACAGAGATAAGCACTAACTCCACTTTCCTGCAAACGGTCAATAAGTTTACTCTGAAACATTGCGATGTCGCACACGAGCAACATTTTTCTTACGCACCAAAAACAACCGGAAGCGAAAGCTACTAAATTTTACAATGTTCTTTAACTCTAGAAAGCTATTACTATTGAATAATACAATATACTGCTATAGATACGTAAATTTTACGTATAAACAAATTAAGTTTAATTAATGTAACATAACATTCTTTATACATTTTACATTTTTTATAATAAAATATTTGTAATTTAAATTTTTGTAAACACAAATAATCTAAAAAAATAATTAATAAAATGCCAATTTGAACCAATTGGTTATTAATGTGTATTTTATATCATTTATTCAAAGTGAATAGTAAAACTTAATAATTTGATGACCAAGATTAACTCGGATATCATCACCATAATTTTTTGTATTTTATACATTAATAGTTTATACTCATATGCGCTATCATGTAATTTATTATTAATAGTTTAAGTAAATTTTTTTGTACTGAAGAGGACCTTGACCTCGAAACGTACGTTTCACTATTCACTTTGAATAGATGGTATAAAATACACACTAATAACCAGTGTTAACTCAAATTGGCATTTTATTTATTATTTTTTAGATTTTTCTTTAAAGCCTTGATTATCTTGTTACAAATAATCTAATTATTAACTTAAAGGGAAAGAAAAAATAAGCACACTGTCAAATTCAATTTTAGAATACTATGCAATATATAGTTCAATATGCATGTATCTTTTTATAAAACTTAAATGAAATATAATATATAATAACGTAAAGTTACATTTAAAAAATTGAAACCACTTATCATACTCTTTGTCATAATACTGACTACCAAGAGTAGTTCAATCAGAATTTTTTAAAATTTTCTTTGTTAGCTTTTCACAAATTGGATTGCTTAATGATTATTGAAGGTATAGTTCAACGCTTAATAACTTCAATTACCTATAAAATTTATTTATCATTAGCATTATTAATACGGACTATTGAAATACTTTAAAATAAAAGTAATCAATGCCACTGTTATTTGGAAATAAGAAAAATGAGCAAATGTTCTAGACTAATACAGAACTATTATTCTTTTCATCATCGTGTCACGCATTACATCGACTTCATTCGCGCCTGAGACATCAATATTGCTAAATCCTTGTTATTTACCATGGTCGGCTGCAGCGGCACTTGTATGCCTGCTGACGACCATGGTCGCTCCATTGACGGCGAAGCTCAGCGAAGTTATTCAACCATCGGTAATTCGATTTAGGTGGCACGTTACTATTCCAAATTTCCTCCTCGACGCACTGACATGGTCCGGGACATGCGCCCGTCGCGGCAGTTCCGGTGGGTCGCAAACCGCTACAACGGTGATTCAGGCATCCTACGTTACTTTGGCAATTACACGAAGATATGCTCGCCTTACAATTGCTTTCGCCTGATGCACAATTGTTTCCTGTATCACAATATGCAAGCTAAAAGCCATTGCATTCTTGAAACATATATGAGTTGACATATATGAATGAAGAGATATTAAAGGAAGAAAAACACTTTCAATGTGAATTTTTAGGATCTCAATATTTTGTTGTTGCAAAAAGAAATGTATACGTTTATTCAGTTATAAAATAAATCTCTTTAAAGAGTATTTTTCTTGTGCAAACTGCATGTTTTCGAATAACATTATTCATTTTTGTTATCATCATAAATACATTTATTCCTTACATACTTTTATATTCATTATAGTGATTAATGACTTTTTATGATAATTAAAAATTATAATTCTTCATAAAATAATTCGGTAAAATGTAATTAAATTCGTATTATACAGTGACTATTAATGAAAGCTATTATAATATTCCTGCTTGTAAATGATGATAAATATCAAATTTTATGAATATTAATGAAAAATGATAAAAGATAATCAAATATTTAATTACGTATACATATAAAAAATATGGTTATTTTAACTTCAGAACCTGAAATTGTTATCATTGTTTTTAAGTTATTCAATACATACTAACCACAGCAACCAGTGCTAGGACATCGTCTGTTACCATCAATTTCATTATGGAAGGACATATTGATTTTTCTTCAAGATAAAATCTAATTTTTCGAAAGTGGGAACTTCGCGCAGGTATGCCATTTACGATTTGGAATAAATAATACAATCGACAGGAGCATTTATGCATAGTTTTGGCTTACATTTTTGAATAATCTGTTTTGTCGTTTTTGCTTTATTGATTTATCACTGACAAAGTGTGCTTCAACATGTGACTGAAAGTGTGAAGATAAGCGGAGATCGATTGCGAGAGATACGAAAATATATATCAAATCTTTAGTTTCGTTGTCATAGAAACAATTAAGGTGCACGATCTTTTATAACATTGAATGACTTGTGAATTATATCAAAAGAATTCTTTTTCATGTTTGTAAAATTTTTTCATATATATAAAATTTTTATTATGAATGATGGAAATATTGTGCAAAAATTGTGTAAAAATTATAATATGTTACTTACATTATAAGTATGAATTTATGTGATGATAAATATTACATAAAACAGTCATACCTCGCAAAATACAAACAAATTATATAAATTAAAACAGCGGTAATTAATACCGCTGCGCGTAGCTTAGCGCCGAGACACTGCCAGTGTCTTCAGATCTATATATTAATTGAGAATTGTGTAAAATTTTTTAATTAAACATTTTTCTTATATTTTTATTTTTTTATATTTTTGTTTCAAATATTTCGCATTATGCGCTGGGTTCATGCTATCTATATTATTACAATTAGATAAATGTATAATCCAGTATTATCGACGATTTTCCTGTGCGCGGAGTTTGATCGCTTCAACACCAGGTGACGAATATATACAGAGCAGTCAGCTGTGTCCAGTTGTGTTGAACGTCGTGGAAACATCAAAACAATTATTGCAAGGTCTACTAGCAGAGTCAAAGGTGTAAAACGAAAGAAAGACAACGTGCTAGCATTATGACAATTCACAACTTGTATATTTTTTCAAAAACCGGCACATTGCTGTATTACGCTGAGTGGAACAGGTTAAATAAGTCGGGGATAACAAAAGAGGAGGTAATGTAGTTGTTTATACAGTCGTTGCATGTCGATTAGAAAAACTAATCTGGTATGACAACAACGTTGCGATAGATTAATTTTTGGAATAATCTATACAATCGTTTGGGCTTAGCAAACACGGATTCGAGCTTGAGAGATACATTACAGATACTAATCAACTTTGATTAAAAATATGTACTTATTTTATTTATCTACAATCCTTTTACTTGCATTGATTGATTACCAGCAATGGTAATTACTATATATAAGTGTAAAGAGTTCTTGAAACGAAGGCTAATTTGCAGCAAAAGTCAAAAATAAATTTATAAGCTAAAACTTTTAATAAGATGTCAAATATTTTTTGACATTTTTTATATATATATATTACATTTACAATCATATTAAGGGTGCGTTTTGAGTTACACATGAAACACACGATTGTTTTATCCTTTTTTATTAATATGTAAATAATAAGGACAAATGATGCATCATGCGCTTCATGCGGAACTCGGAACGCACCCTCATCCATATATATACTTTTGTGATGATAATTAAAAAAAAATCGATAGCTATTTAGAAGTAAAGTTAAAAAATTGAAACCTAGCTACACTTTGAATTGAACAAGCTATATATTATAATATATAGTGATTAATTTGTTGTTGTATTAAGCTATTTTAAAGCAAACTAATTATGAAAGAAAGAGAGATGTAAATGTAAAAAATAAAATTGCATGTATTGATTATATGATCAAACAAAATTATCAGAAATGTATATATAATTTAGGAGGCAAAATTAATGTATGGGATGCTGTTTTCCATAAAATCATTTGTAAGTAAAATCTCACCGTTAGATCCCAAGGAGGGGTTTCTGTATTACAAGACGAGCAAATATACGCTTCACTACTTCGAAACGCCATCGGGTCTCAAATTTGTTTTGAATACTGATAATGCAAGTCAGAATGCCAGAGAATTGTTACAGCAATTGTACAGAGAAGTAAAACCATATACCTGTTTCTTTTAATAGAAGTACAGGTGTATGTATGCTGTGTAATCGCATATTTTTTATTTTAGGTCTACTTGGAATATGTAGTAAAAAATCCACTCTGTCAATTAAATGAACCTATACAAAGTGAATTATTCAAAATGAAGGTGGATGAACTATTTAAAAAATCTCCTCTATTTCTAAGTCGTTCGTTGTAGATAATAACAAAAAAAATATAAAATTTTTATACTACATAAGAAACGAGTTAAACTTTTTAAATAATAAATAGATAATACCAAATATATATTAGGTGTTGGAATTAATTCGTAGCGTTTTACAAGTGATGGGAAGTACTTTCATTAATGTATTTTTTAATGCTCATGTGAAATAAATAACATTCTTTCATTAAAAAACGCTACGAATTAATTCCAACACCTAATATGTAACATTTGTTGTAAATATTCAAGAGCTTCTATTATTATCAAATATAAATGACAAAATATTGCGCATATATATTTCAATATTAAGTTATATGCACAGTTTGCAGAGTTGTAATTTCAAACAGTCTTGTCTTAGTTTTAGTTTCTTACAGCAATTTATTTTACTTTCCAGAGAAATATATACACTTGTTACAGTAACATGTAAAATGATAATAATAGTGCATATTTAAAAGATATTTCTGTGCTGTACAGTATTAATTACAGGCAAGTACAGGCAAATTAATTAAATTAATACAAGACTCATATATTATTTGTAGACGCCAGTATTCTAAACTTACTAAGTAATAATTCTAATTAATATTTACGTTTTTTTTTTGTATAATAAAGGTAGTGCAATAGGCATTCGAAGAGTCAGATATTTTAGCATCTTAAGTAATCATTATTACTATAATTATACACTCTGGAACCTCGTAATAGCGAACCTCGAAATAGTGCGAAAAATCCTTTCCGCGCTATAAGTAACATGATGGGGAGTAGTAGTCTAAAATCTTAAATTTTAGAGTGAAGTAGGGACAATATCCTTATAACATTCAGACAATTAGACCCCCGAATCACGCGCTATTACGAACTTTCAGTATATATGCTATCACATCACATATTTCAATTATTTCAATTTAATAAAAACAAAATTTCTGTTGAATGATAAAAATATATAGCAAATACTATGATATATAATTAGGAAACATATTGCATGTATTATATATTTACAAAAAATAGCATCTAGAAACTATACAATTATTCACAATTGAATATGAAATCATATCATTTGTGCGGGTTAGGCTAATTTTTATAAGAGCATAAATAGATTAAGAATCAATATTTATATTTCGAAATAAGAATTTGTAATATATTGTAAGATATACTTATATTTAAAAAAATAAGAACTTGATTATTTAATTTTTTTAAATCAATAATTAACGTAAGCATTAAAAGTATATTTATTTTGCTACTTCTTCCATATGCTTCCAAATGTATTAATGATTTTGAATAGATACGTTTATGTAAATTTTGTTTAAATATAACTGTTTGCACATATATAAAGAAGATGCGGCAGTTTATTGTTCAAAATTCGATTTTTTTTTCTACTTATGTGTATACAAAGTAATTTTTTTGTAAAACTACCGATTAATACATTTTATATTATTCTTTATTTTATAAAAGAGTAAAACATTTAGAATCAAAATGGCTATAATACTTTTGAACAAAATTCTTTTTATAAAACTAATATGCATGCATATTTAAATCCCTTACAGAATTATAGATAAAAAATTACAAAAAAAGAAACTAATTGATAAAGCACTACTTCCAGTGTAGACTTTTTAAAATTATTTAATCACATTAGTATCGATGGTCAATTGTTTCATACGAACTGACAAATGCAAAAATAATATAAAACCACAATTGTTATTTTGTTAAATTAAACAAATTTACAGAATAATTTTTAAATAAATTCATAATAGATTCTATACATACATATTGGAAAATATAATTGTATGTGTGTATATATATAT